TTGAATTGTTAAAAATTCAGTGCAAAAATATAATTAAAAATCAATATAAATATTCTTTACAAACTTTATCTATTTATGCTATATATTAAAACAAACCACTTAGTTTCCACATGGTAACTTCGATGTCTTTTGGCTACTCAACCTTTTAGAACTGTTACTTAATTTTACTATGAGTTAAACTATTATCCACTTAAGTGGATAGGAGCTCATGTCCACATAATGTTTTATTCATTGGTTTTCCTTTGATTTTGTTGTTGATGTATGATACACATCAAGGCACACATCTCAAAAGTAGGATTGATGTATATCATAAATCGTGAAGATAACAATTGTAAAAAACTAAAATTGCAGCTACATGCTGTTATGATGTTTTCAGCGGCCCAAGTACGATCCTTTACCAGCAACAGACATGTGTCCACGTACATGCACCGCTCAAATCAAATTGACAGTCAGAACCACCAAGAATCCTGACTTAGCCGACTTGTCGAGTCGGCATCTCCTTAGGTCGACTTGAAGGGTGGTACTTGTCGGTTCTCTTATCGAAGACGACTCGCTACGAGCTCACTCAACCAGTTGCTCGACACCTTGTAAGGGCGACTCGACGTTATATCTCGACCAAGCTAAATGACGACTTCAACCTCAAGCCTCTTCCGTTGACTAGGGGTGTGCAACGGTCGGTTCTGTTCGGTTTTTACCAAAATTTGAACAACCGAACCGAACCGCCTATAATTCAAAACCGAACCAAACTGTTGTAAGTCGGTTCGGTGCGGTTCGGTTCGGTTTGTTCGGTTCTAACTTCATCAAACTTCTTATCAAACAACAAATTGTGTTAAAGAAAATAATATCAACAAAGTAGGAGATTATGAAGCATTAAACACTGATATAATGATATTGTTTTCAACCCATAATGATCCAGAAAATGAGTTTAGAGTTTGAGTCTTTGACTCTTTGGGCATGGGTCGGGTAGGGTTTGAGATCAGAATGAGTAGTATTGCACTATATTCGGTCGGTTCGGGTCGGTTCGGGTTGAATAGTTTTCAAACCGACCCGAACCGCCCTACTCATAAAACCGATTTTTTCGGATCGGTTCGGGTCGGTTAGGTCGGTTTTTTCGGTTTGGACCGAACCATGCTCAGCCCTACCATTGACAGCGCATCAGCGTCACATTAAATGCTTGGCAGGTGCCATCATACCTCTAGCCCTGATAGTCTTTATGACACATTGGACCATGTCGGCACCGCCATTGCCCCCAATCACTTCATATTAAATATTGAGGTGACGTCTCCTCCACTCGTTGCCCGACACCTGTAAAGTAGGTGTTGACGTAGCCGCCAGGCCATACTTGTTTGTCGCCATCTTGTACTCGGCCGAGATTATCATTCTACCCTTTTTCCACTACTATAAATAGAGGTACTATTCTAAATATCAGAGTAAGCAATTTTCTAAGTAAGCAATATCTGAGAATTCCACTGCACCACACTTTAGAACTCACACGGTTCTTCATTTTCCCACTCAAGTCCATCAATTGACTTGATCGTCGGAGGAACAACAGGGAACTAGTCCATGTCCTCTCACGAATTGCTATTTGTGCAGGCTGAAACTACTCAACTCAAAATCAGATATTTAGAGAAGTTAGCGGCCCCCTAATCAACCTCACCCCCATTATATTATCTGTTTGATTATTAACATCAACACATGCCATGGACGCTTAAATTGTAGTTATTGTTACAATGACCAAACAATCTCAAGAATACAAAAGTCATTTGATGATTATATTTATACAATTTTTTCTACTATTGTAAAACTTTGGTAATCTATATTTTTCATGAATACGGAATATTTATGAAACCAAGGTCAGCTTGTCATTAAGTTAATCATGTAACTAACATTTTGAGATTATTTTATAATGGAGGAGGTCAAAATAGTTAACAAAGTAAAAAAAACGCCGAAAGCAGAGTATAGAACATTCGTCCTGTCATAATAAATTTTGGAAGGGATAAACATAATTTACCCAAGAAAATATATAAAGCTTAGTGTCAGAAGGTGCTATACACCCCTGATTAACAATGCACGTCATCTTTAAAAAAAAAGGATTAAAGGACTACATAAGAACCAAGGCGACTGGTTTTCTACAATTTGCTATCTCATTTCTCATCGCAAAGCTAAAGAACTTTTTTGGATGAGCTACGGACTAGGAAAATACTCTTTCTATTTGGTATTTTATTTCGAATAGAATCTCAACAAAAGTACAAAAAAGAACATTTAATGTCCACGATTGACCATGTGGATTTTAGATGCATAACGAACTTGCTCAATTTACGTGTCGTGCGGAAGCGTGCTCGACAACCAAACGAGTCGGTGAGCGATGAGAGAAGAAAATCAAAAACCAAACACGAATGCAATTCACAAAATAACGACCAAAATCACACACAAACACAGTAATTTACGTGGTTCGGCAATTGCCTACGTCCACGGGGAGAGGATGGGGAGATTTTACTATATGGAGGAGAAATACAACGAGTTACAACTCACAAAACCACTCAAATATAACCCTAACCAAAGCTCTCAACTCCCTCACAATATCTTCCTCTCAAAGTGCTCAAAACAATGCTAATTCTCTCCTTAAGAAACCCTAAAAAACGTGGTTCTATTTATAACAAAACACAATCCCAAATAGATTGAGATTCTAAAAACGAGTCCGTCACATCTTGATGTGACACACACCACACTCATGGCAAACATGGCAGATTCTGCTACACCATAGTGTGACAGACACCACACCCATGGCAAACATGGCAGTTCTACCACCGGTGTGGCAGACACCACATCAGGGTGTGGTGGAGTCTGTTTTGCTTATTCTTCACGTTTTTCTCAATTCCTTCGCCGTTTTCACATCTTCTACTAAAACTATCGGCAATTCATTGATTATCGAATTTAAGATTACACAGAGTCACAAACTAATCTTTAATCACTTTTTATAAACTATAAAGTAACTTTATGAACTAAGATGCCAAAAGCCCTTTTTTCTCTTTTGATTTTCTAGTTAGATTCCATTTCAAAAGTTGGTTTCTTCAGATTGTTGAGAAAGAAAAAGAAAACATATATGATACTTGCAATTACCCATCTATCTTCATGGATGGCTTATGGGTTCAATATTCCACGAGATATTTTGATGCTAACTGCACCAAAGTTTACTCGATCTTCTTTGTGATCTCAGCTCACTGCATCTGTCTCCGTTCAGTGGCAAGATGATGGCAGAGGAAGTTCGTGGAACTTTTCTCTCTCGGCCTCCACTCGTCATGCTCCCTATCAGGGAACAAACACAAACTAGAACTTTCTACGACCTCTCATTAATAAACTCAGTATATACCATTAATCCCCCTGAACTTTTGTGGTGCCTCCAATGGCTGGTTGGTGAAATTGGAGCATAATCCGAAGATTGAGCTTCTGAATTCTTACTCGAAGATGAAAGTAGTGCAACTTCCGCAACGCACAGCCACTCGCCACTGTACTCACCATTTTCTATACCCATCAATCTGTACGCAAAAAATCATTCTGACGGATAGCCCAAACATATACCAAGAATGTTTTGCTGTTTCAGTTGTATCGGATAGGCTGACACCTCGCCATTTGCAGGGTAGGAGATGATAAATGGATCGACATAGAGTCAGAACGGAACTATTATCGATATGGGAAAGGGGGGTTACGTTAGTGGTTGTCGATGTTGGTCAAGCCTTAAAGGGGTGTTTGGTTCAATAGTGAGCAAGAATAAGATTATGAATCCCATATTTTTTATGGATTCCTAGCTAATCCATAAAAATTTTTAAGACAATTTTATGTTGTCATGGAATCTTTTTTTTTAGGTCGAATTGCATTTGTCACTTGGAGGTTGTCAGTTTGATTGTGGCCTGCTGCTCTGCTTAGGGGGATGGACATACTGAGCGATTGCGGGATGAGGTCTCAGTCATTTTGGTATTCTTACCTGTATTTTGGTGTATGCAGTGTCTGTAGAGGGATTCCATGTAGTCGCGTATTAATTTGGTTTTGGCAAATTTTATTTATCTTTACTTATTTTATTAGCTGAAAAGATTTAGTAGTCTGAACTAGAGTTTGTATGCGCACAAGGATTTTATTTCAGGATCGATGTGGTACACGGAATTGGACTAATAAAACGGAATAAATACATGTTTACGACGTCCAATGATCCAAATCTTCCCTCGCAATGTGTGACCCCCAGGTGTTGGGAGAGGAGAAGAAATTGTTGCGTGTTTCCTCCATTGCATGTATGGGGTATTGCAATAATACATTGCCAAGAATTAATCATTTTCAGGTAAAATCTTATAGCATATCCAACAGCTTCCCAAAAAATTTCTTCAAAATAGGGAAGCAAAAGTCATATTCTCCAAATTATTTTTGCTCCAACTCTAACAGCTTCCCTATTTTGAAGAATCATGTATTTATTACAATAATAAAAATATTCCACATCCCTATTTTAGGATGCTTTTATGCATTGGAACTGTCCCCATGCCTTTTTTGTAATTACGGATTTTGTTTTGTGTTTATTTTCTCCTCCATCCCGTTTTGAAGAATGTGCTGCATTTATGACAAAGCTCTCTGTAAAAATTTGTAGAATACTGCAGATTTGGGGAAGACTCTTTTTTTTCTCCTCCATCCCTATTTTGGGGAATGTGATGAGAAATCTGTTGGATAAAAAAAAGCCCAAAATTCTTCAAAAGTGAGAATACCAATAAAATAGGGAAGCTATTGGAGATGCTCTTACAGGGAGATGATTTTGCCGGTGAAAAATGTGTTCGCACTAAAGGTTTTTTTTTTTCTTTAGATTTATTACATAAATCGTTGAAAGTTGAAGGGTTTTCTGAATACCCGAAAACTTAGGGGGGCTTCTGTGACATTTTAAAGGTAACGGGGGTTTTCTGCGAAACGCCCAAACTTAAGAGGCCTTTTTGTGAAATTTCTCCCCCCCAAAAAATATCCTTTACAGGCCTTGGCTCCCCGCTCGAATTGTCAGAGGAGAAGGGGAAAAGAGCAGATGGCCCTCGTCTCCCTTCGCCTCTCTCCCCCACTCTTCCCAAACCCTAATCCTAACCCTAAATCCACACCAATCTCTTACTCTCTCCCCAAGCCCTCTCATCGTCGATCCCCAGCCGTCCGCTCCTCATCCAGCGGCCACGATCCAACGCTCGACCCCCCTCATCGAAAGCAGAACTCCGCCTTCATCCTCCCCCTCGTCGCCTCCGCCGTATTCCTCATCGGATTCCGAGCTCGCGCTTGCCCCGTCCTCCCCTCTCCAGCTCCCATCACTGAAACCCTAGGTACCTATGTAAAACCCTAACTCTTTACGTTTTAAGTTAGCTTGAGGGTTGGTTTTGAACTTATTCGGTTTGATTAGACGTGACGGAGAGCTCTGAGGATGAGGAGTTTAGGTCTGCATTTGAGCGCTGGAAGTCGAAGACCTACGCCTTGACTGTGCCTTTGAGGATTGTTGCCCTTCGTGGATCGGTTCCGCCTTCTTGGATCAAAGTTAGCAAATTTTATGGATTTTGAATTTGAAAAGTTGCTGCCTTTGATCAATAGGGAGGTGAAAATTTTGTTTGATGTGTCAGGATTTCTTTCAAGCGCAAGGCAAGCGGGTGAAGTTTAGTTCGGATTACCGAGCAACTCTAGACTCGATTTACTCAGAGATGTCTACTGCTTTGAGTAAAGGTTCTGTGGATACTAAGAACGCAATGTCTGCTGATCTTGTGTCCGTCGGTGGTTCTTGGCTCAGTTTTGCGATCAGGGACCGGTTGATTGAGCCCATAAAGAATGTTGAAGAGCAAGACTGGTTCAAAGGTTTAAGCGAAAAATGGAAGGTGAGATAGCAAAAATTTTGTTTACGTTTGCTCATGCGTTCGCTTATATATACTTGAACCTTTCATCACATACTTAGGTTTGTTAAAAGGTTTATTTCAGCTATTTCTTGAGAGATGAAGGATAGGGCCGCTAAATCAAAAGCCCCAACCACAGTTCATTACCAAAACATGGTTGTTTCAAAAATACAAACTCTACCCACAACTCCAACGGCATAGTTTTAGAGAGTTTATATACGAAGAATGTTCAATTAACTGTTAGGCTGGAGGGTGGGTTTTGATTTGGATAAATAATGACTGTATGTAGGACGACTCTGAGAAGAGAAGTTAAACAAGCTCACTCCTTTTGCATCAGAGAATTTAAACAGCTTCTTTATGCTTTAAAGGTTTCTATATAGCAGCTGCTGTAAGTGTGCCATGTTATAAAGTGATCTTTCAATTTTAAAATGCCATATATACAAGTATAAAAAGCAGTGTTTGGTACTGATCCTCCTTCCCTCCCCCTTATCTTGTTCTCTCTCATGTTTACCTCTGTGTTTATTTAGTTTTATGGAAGCCTCTCTCAGGTTTATTTATGCAGGAATGACAAGGGCGAATTAGATCCTAATGGTGATATATGGGGTGCCCCTTATCGCTGGGGAACCATGGTAATAGCATATAAGACCAACAAGTTCAGAAAGCACAAGCTGACCCCAATTGAGGTGATTTACTGCCCTTCTGTTTATAATATTCTTGACAACTTCTCCTTTTTTTCTCCTACCCCTTTTAGCATTGTGAAACTACTTCCTTTCTCATCTTCGTTGATAGTTCGGCTTTGGTCATCCACTCCAAAATTTTTTATCATGAATTTGAATTGTGTGCTGCAATAAGTTTGTTTAAATCTTAATTTAGTTATCTTGCTTTCTACCCAGTTGGTTATTATATGATATCCTATGTTTACTTGCGGATTATGGAGGGAAAAATATATTTAACGTCATATCATGTGGTTCTATATAAATGTATGAATCATATTATGTGGTATTACAGGACTGGGGAGATCTGTGGAGGCCTGAGCTTACTGGGAAGATTTCGATGATTGATTCTCCCAGAGAGGTCATTGGTGCAGTTTTGAAACATATGGGGGCATCATACAACACAAAGAATATTGACTCACAAATCTCTGGTGGCAGAGAAGCCATCATGCATAACTTGGTAATGCTTCAAAAACAGGTATGCTGCAATTAACTTTTGGTATGAAAATTTTGTTTTGCTTATTCTGTATCAAAATTTTATTTTGCTTGTTTTACACTCACTGTAAATCAAAACATACTTGTGAATATATGTGACGTTTCAACTTTCGTTGTTACATATGTAATTCCTAAAAGCATTTTGTGATTGAGGTAAAAATATTATGTACTTTTGTTGCTCTTTTTTATGGCTATTTGTTTATAAGTTATATACTATCTGCTTTCTCTTGATTCCCGCTTCTTCTGCATCAAAATATTTATTTTTCTTGCTTTACGTTCACTGTAATTCAGAACATACATTGTGAATATATGATGATTTCAACTTTGGCTAGTATTTAGGTGTCGGTTTCTTTTTAATAATGACCTCTCTATAAACCACTTGGTCTACAGGTTCGACTGTTTGACAGTGTGCACTACCTGAAGTCATTTGGAGCAGGAGATGTTTGGGTTGCTGTAGGATGGAGCAGTGATGTTATACCTGCTGCCAAGCGCATGTCCAATGTGGCTGTGATTGTTCCCAAGTCCGGGGCTAGTCTGTGGGCAGATATATGGGTATGTCTTGGTTTATTTGATGTTTTTTTTGTCTTTTAATGGTTCCCCTTACATTATTTTTATATCTGATCTGTGGGCATGTCTTAGTTTACGTTGATGCCTTCAACTTATTAATCTATTATTTATAGACACGAAAATGAGTGTAGTGTTCCATCATGGCGATGGTTATTTGAGAGGGTAATTCTACAAAATCCGGACACAAGGACGTATCTATATATGCCTACATTTTTTTTTTTAAATAGCATGTGTATTTAACATGCATAAAGTTAGGTGATTAGCATATAGAACAGAACCTAAATTAATAAAATGATTCAGAAGTTTGTTCCTTAAAATGGGCATCATATACTTCATGTTATGTGTTTCTGAGATAACAAAAATCACACACCAAAGGACACGTGGCATATAGACGGGCACACAAATTTCAGATAAGGAGTAATTTCTTCATCTCATAGCTTATAACCAGCTTTCTTTTAACAATTATACGCTTTTCTATTTTTCTATTACATTTATGCTTCCGGTTTTGATTCAATCAGCAATCACCACCTCCAATTCTCTGAAGCTGATATTGTACACAGTGATGCTTTCATCATTTATTTTTGCACCTTCCAGGCAATACCTGCTGCAAGTAGATTTACCGGTGATCAAATTGGTGGCAGAATCAGAGGCCCATCTCCACTAATTCATCAGTGGATTGAGTTCTGCTTGCAGACTGCAAGAGGTTTGCCTTTCCAGCAGCAAATTGTCCCAGGAGCTTCACCCGTTGCCCTTGAACCCATTTTAGTTGAAGCTACTCGAGAGTCCACGAAGGGAAGGCCGAAGCTTGAAACGAATCTCAATGATGGTGTACCTGCGCCTGAAATATTATCAAGATGTGAGTTCCTAGAGCCATTATCAGATAAAGCATTGGAAGATTACCAGTGGTTGATATCCTGTATGCAAAAGCCATGTCAAGGCTGGGTTGGTAGCACATTACAACGGATTACTTCCTTTACTCGGACACATAAACTGAGCTCATAATTTTGGTGATGAAAACCTTGTGAGATTGCAAACTGGCGTTTTATCTCGTTGGAACTAATTTTTTTGTCGGGGTATAAGTGTATGGTCATTCTGGGGAACAAGAAGTTACACTGATTATCATAAATGGAACTATTCTTTTTCATCTATATTAAAATTTCGCAATATTTACCATCTTTGTCTGGAAACCCATATATCTGTATTGTTCTTCTATGTTCTGAATTTGGTTTTCGCAATACGGTTGGCCAAGTAGTGAAGAGTATACACATAATATTTCCGATTGAGATAGAATGGCCAGTAAATGTGGAGATTGGATCTCCTTGAAAACCTGATCCGCTGAAAGTAATGTATATTTTCTAGCTCCTCCTAGTGTTAGCTACTGTTAATCTTGCGGAAAAAAAAAACTTCCTAATGTTTTGTTTTTCTTTCTTTTAGTTATTTGCATTTAAATAGGACCATTTATGTCATATCTTTTTCAATTCCAGTTCTAATCATTCTAGGGGTTGGGATATTCCATTCTCGGTGGACACGTGTCAATAAGCTTCTTGCCTTGTATGTACTTTCATGGATCTAGATGCCATACTAGAATTTTCTTATCCCAAAAAAATAATTTTTTTTTATTACTTTTTTTGATGGATTGTGCTGTAATTTGTATTTGTGATGATGAGACTAGCTACGTTAATGTGTTGAAAGTTGTTTGTGCGTGTGGATGACCATAGTTTTTTTTTCGAACAATTTTTCAAAACCGACTGAAATTTTTTTTTTTTTTCAAAACCGACTGTTTTTTTTTTATTTATCAAAATCGACCCGGTTTTGTGATTAGCAGGCTAATCACTATCCTAAATAGTCGGGGTTGGCAACCCCGACTATTTAGGATAGTGATTAACCTGCTAATCACCCTTTAATTAGGGTTTAACACCCTCCTAAATAGTCGGGGTTGCCAACCCCGACTATTTAGGATAGTGATTAGCAGCCTAATCACAAAACCGGGTCGATTTTGATAAATAAAAAAAAAACAGTCGGTTTTGAAAAAAAAAAAAAAATCAGTCCGTTTTGAAAAATTGTTCTTTTTTTTCTGCGCTTAAACATTTTCCTTCACCCTTTTTCTGTGGACATCCGGAAACCCTCTTTCTATAAGAAAACGGGATTTAGAGACAACCTATATAAACTTCAGAAGCTAAATTTAAAGTTACGACCAAGGATCAAACTTCAAAAGGAATTTCAAAGAGGAAACCAACTAAAAGTATGCTTCTCTTTTTCTCTATCATTTCTTCTCAAGGTTTGTGCTCATTTATATGCCTAGATGAAAATAGCCGGTAGTACAGGGATAATTTCTATATTCCTAAATTAGGAGATTTCATTTCCTCTTTATTTCCCTTTTTCTTTTTAACGATTGAATTTAATTTTTGTTACTATCATTTTCCATTGATCAGAATCAGATGGGATCTGCTCATGGATGGATATATTAGCTTTAATAGCATTCGCGTGTTTCACCCAAAAAACCGATGCACGAGATGTTTGGTTGGCTATAAAAAACATGGAAATTAAAGAAAATGACAGTTATTTCGTATAATAATTTCTTTTCTTGTGTTTGATTCACATCTTAAAAGTAAAAAAAAAAGGATGAGATGAGTTGTCACAATATTATTGGATGATGTGGAGGATTTTTTAAGAAAGAAATTATAAAAAATGTTTTGAGGCTGTTTGCTTGGCTAAAAAAATAAGAAAATGAATTATAAGAAATATATTTTCTATAATAGGTTCTTTTCTTATGTTTGGTTCATTCTTAAAACTAAGAAAATAGATGAGATGAGATGAGTTGTCATTATATTATTGGTGACGTGACTCATACTTAAGGAAATCAATTTCCTTATTTTTTTGAGGAAATTGATGGAAATAAATTTTTAATAAGATGAGATGAGTTGTCACCATATTATTGGATGATGTGAGTGATTTTTAAAGATGAGATGAGATGCGTTGGATGATGTGACTCATTTCTTGTGTTTGGTTTATTTTAAAAAGTAAGAAAGGAGATAAGATGAGATGCGTTGTTGGATGAAAATAATATTTTATTGGATGGTGTTGGTGAGTTTTAGGGATGGAAATAGATGAAAATAGCATTTTATTGATTTCCTTGACCCAATTTTCTTTTCTTGGCTTTTAGGAAACTAACCAAACAGCCCCTAAGGTGAAAACAAGTAAAGAAGAGAACAGCCAACCTCTGGATTCAGATGACAGTCTATTTTTTGGCACCGTACGTTCAGACCAACCTCTTGATTCAGACGACAGCTTATTTTCTCAGGCGGCCAATTCAAATCAATCGCCATGATCTTTAACTTTGTATTTGATATTTATTGTGATACTGTTTTGATACTTTGTAATGATCAATTCAATGATGTTGGAGTTGAGGATGTGCACGGACTACGCAGTTCTGTTTCACACGTTATGCATGGAGATGATATGTTTCGAACTTTCACCTCATCAAAATCCCAGTCACCCTAATAAATTTTTTTATGACGTCATTGTACTATTTTGTTACCTCTCTTTGAGGAATGGTTAATGTGTTGTGATTGCATTTATATTTAGAAATTAATGTTGGTATTGATTTGTTGTTGTTCTAAGCTCTACTTATGAAGGCGAATGTTGTTATCTTTTCTGATAATTCTTTTCTTTTACCATTCAAACAGCGAGGAAAGTAACAATCCACAGCGATGAAGATCATATGCAAATAATGCAAAACTTTCCTATATGCAACCAATATAAAAACAATATTCACATTCACATAAATTCGTTCGCTATCTCTGTCTGTCATAGATCCTCCTGTATAAGCTTATGAAGGAGAGTGTTCAACAGCGCATCTCTCTTCAGTGCACGATTCTCTTCCGTTATCCTCCTTTGCTCCTCTTTCTCTTGCCAAGCTCTTTCCAGCATGAATCTTTCCCTCTCCAGCTTTTCCATTGATTGTTGCCACTCTTTCTCAAACATTCGCCGCTCTTGACCCATCCTCTCCATCAAATCCCTCCATTGGGCCTCAGCCCGCTGCTGCTGCTGCAAGAAATCTTGTAGAAGTTCATGTACGTTATTGTTGGCTGCCTTTGGCTTGTGGATCTTATCAGTTTTCTTTTTTCTGTTCTTTGTCAAATGCTGCTCGTCATCACTTTCTTCATTATCATCGTCGGCATCAGAAATTTCATCAGAGAATCTAACTCCACTGGATCTCTTCAGTTTCTTTTGTGGGTGGTTGAGGGTGCTTGTTTCAGACTCGAGGAGGTGTTGCATGTTTCTTGCTCTTTCAGTAAAAACTGCATGCAACTCGTCGAAGAACGGACAATGCTTGCCATTATCGGGATCAGATGTCTCAGATGTCTCTTTACCCTGTAGAAATGGTGCAGGTAGAACTGTATTAAATTTCTGCAAATTCTCGTGAGAGGGAGAAAGTTAAAAGTATTGAGCAGAGAAAATCTTTTATGTTCTCCAATGGATTTGTTGTCATGCATTGGATTTGTTAAGACCTAAAATGACTAGAGATTAAATTTACAATTCAAAAAATCACACTACCCCATTTCACTTTTTCTCCTAATATCACTCTCTACTCCATTCCAGAGGGCACCCTGCACTAACTCCTCCCAAAACTCCTTAAAAACCCCAATTTGCCCCTCATCCACTATTCATCCAAAAGATTAGTACATCCAACTCTGAATTCAAATATGGTGTTCCTCTTTTTCCGGGGTCTCTCATGAAATCTTGGCGATCTTCTCTATCTAATGAATGAGGAGTCCAGTCTTCATAAAGTAAAGACCCGGAAACAGGTTCACGAATATCATCTATATCTGCTGGAGGAGCAGCAATGAAGGCGATAATAAATAAAGAATTTGTGGTCAATAAGGTAGAGATCATCAAAACACCGAACCATCCAATGTAAAGACGATTTTCGGTGCTGGTTATCCAGTTATAAAAGCGACCCCATAAGCTTGTACTTTTGCATCTCTCTAAAATTGCAGTCATGGTAAAACCTTGGTTTATTCAATTTTCAAGGACTCCCAAGCAAACGTACTGACTATAACTCTAAATAAGATAGTTAATAGAAGGCTTGTTATTTAACAGTATAACATGACTTATTTAACAACGTCAACCAATCTCAACCGATATATATCTATCTAAGTCAAACTGTACTAAAAAACTTCTAAATTGAAGTAGACGAAAAAGAAAGATTTGTTTTTCTATTTTGTGTATGGGTTGCCCGAGGCTCGAACCCGGAACTAGTCAGATGAAGTAGATCATTTTTCTTGTTGCAATGGAGGAAAAAGACCTCTCCCCAAATCATGCTTGCATTTTTCATGGCACGCGACTTTCCCTATGTATACGTTTAAAATAAAAATACATATAAAAAATTTACATACCGAGAAGAAAGTCTACGAATTTTGTTTGACTACTCTCACCCCTCCTCTTCTCCTCCCCTTCAGCATTCCACACATTCCCAGGTACAATACCTGCAAACCCGCCAGGCGCTGTTGAGCCTTTCCTCAAATTTCCCACCGCCATTGATACCTGAACAGAGTTCTGGAGTTCTAGGATCACCAGAATTGGCTCCTGCAGCATCAACCGTCGCTGCACCAGTTGCTGGTGTGAATCAACCAATTGAGCAACAGCAACAACAACAGTTGGATGACAGTGTGAGTAGAGGAAGTGATCAAGAGAAAGAGTAAGGAGCTTTGCAGACTGCAGGTGCTGTGGAGGTGCAGCCTATTGGAGATGGAGATCACGGGAGTTTGCAGGCTGGAGGTTGCAGCCCATTGGAGTGCAAGGGAATAGGCAAGGGCAGCAGGTTCTGGGATTTGGAGCACAACCATTGATAGACAATACTCCTTTTGATAGCGGGAGTTCAAGGATGGGATGGGGTTAGTTTGGCTTGGCTATGCTCTTGCTTCAGCTTGGCTTATGTGTATCTAAGGTTGCAGAGGGCCAGATTCAAGACCGCAATTAGATATACAAGCATTCTTAGCATGAAGGACCAAATTGAACCAATTGCTTTAAGTTCTAACAAAATCCATGCCAATAAAGCAATTTAACTGCCAGTTTGGGATTAAATCTATGTTAGCTTGAAGGTGGTCTAACCAGTTACAGGTGAGCAGGAACATTCAAAAGCAGTGTTTCTTACTGACCTTTGCTTAATCAGACACTCTCCAATACTCTTAAGTCTTATTCTTAGAAATGCATCAGAGGAGAACTTACAGAAAATGAACAATCTGTTAGGTCTCAAGTTTATGAGCCTATTGTCTAATCTAGTTTTGATGGTTAACAAACAATTCCTAACATTGTTTGTCTAGTGTTTGCATTTTATTTGTTAGGTATTCTACACAAATATTCTCTGTTGGAGGTTGGATGGACTTGCACTTTCACGATGATATTCAAAGGGGGTTGGTGAAAATCGGAATGAAGTTGTCGCAATTCAAGATAAGATTAATCATCGCTTCATCCACAACCAAGTCGAAGAAATTGAAGATCATTTGCCTTGGGTATAATAGTCTAGGTTTATACTTTCTGTGTTTATGCTTAGAGCTCAAAATTCATACACACACAATTGTTTTGATTTATCGCCGTTTCGTGTTATAGACTTAACGACACTATTTTATATCCTTTTTTAAGTCTATTAATCTATTTGTAAGTATGTCAAAACGTGCTTGAAATAATTTTATCAAAATCAAGTTTTAACATTTTCGTATTTTTGAACGGCTTGCAAAATAAATGAATTTTCACAAATGGAAAATGCAAATTGAGAAATTATTTTTCTAACATGTTCTTTTTCATGTGTATAAACATTTCTCAAAGTTTTATCATTTTGGAGTTAATTTACTATATTAAATCGATTTTACAAAATCAAGTGTTCAGCAGTTTTCAGAATCTGGAATATCTGTTTTTAAAACAGTGAGTTTTCACAAATGCGAAGTGATATTTTAGAAATTTCTTCTCTAACATGTTTATCTTCATGTGTAGAAACATTGTACTAAAATTTACTATTTTTTGGAGTTGATTTGCTATTTTAAATTGAATTTAGAAAACCAGCTCTGTAAAATTTTAGAATTTACCGTGCATGTTATCAGTCGACCGATACCCTTTCATCAGTCGACCGATAAAGTGCAACCAGTCGACCGATCAGAGCTCTTTCAGCCGTCTGTATTTTCAATTCATCAGTTGACCGAACCATGGGTATAAGTCGACCGATAACGGTCATTTTGGCTGTAACGACTAGTTTTTGACTGATTATTTTTGTGAGGCTATATATATGCCTCATAACTTATTTGTTTTACTCATGGAAGTTTAGAAAAAGGTTTTGCAAGTGTGTTTAAGAGTTTTCAAGAGAAAACCAAGTGTGTTTGTTTGTTTAAAGGAGTTTAACAAAGAGAATGCTTTCAACTTCGTTTTTGAGGAGTTCAACCTCAAATCTTCATCTACATCTCTTTGTCTTTTTGGAGAAGTTCTCTAAACTTATTTTCTAGCCTAATCTTCATTTTGATCTATATATATATATACAAGCTAGATTTACTTGAGCTTAATTTTATTTTTACTCATTGTTATTCACACACAACCATTTGAGCTTAAGTATTTCACATATAGTATATTTGGGTTGTGGGTGTGATTCATTGAGTGTGAGCATACAATTTCGTTCTCATCTTTGTTGGAGAACAAAACATTTATTTAAGCTTATTATTATTGAGAACACGTTGTAATACACAAGGACATTTAGAGGAGTGGTTGGGAGAAGAACATGATCAATTTTAAGACGAGTTGCTTGGTTGTAAAAGCCTAGGGAGAGGTAGTAATTCCAAGCACTTGAGGAATGTGACACGGGTCGTCCAACACTTAGAGAAGTGTATTGTGTGATTGTCAACGTGTGAGTTGTAAACGTTTTCGGTGAACGTTGAAATCCGGATTGTGTAGTTGTGTTGATTGATAGTGGAGAATCTCCTCGAGGTGAGAAGCGGAGAAGTAGGTCGAGGGTTGACCGAACTCCGTGAACATATCCTTATGTTTGTAATTGTTTTGGCGCACTCTTATTGTCTCATTGTTTATATCGCCTATTATTCATTGTTTATCCTTGCACATAATTTTATTAGATATCATATTTGCTAGGATATTAGTTGAATAAGTTTTGATTTGGCATCAAAATCGGATTAGATTAACAAATACCCTATTCAACCCCCCCTCTAGGGTACTTTCACAATCAACCATCAGTTTCCCATAAATCCCTTATCAGTCATTTCCCACTTCTTTTGCTTCTTGTTAATCCCTTTTTAATTCTTCACTCTCACCATAAATGACATCCTTCACCTTTCAATCATTCATCTGACTAAAAGATGAGATATGAAAGATTGAGGGCTATGTAATGTATACCATTCTGTTCTTTGTCGAGGTATCTTCTCTTCCCCCGATGGTTTTATATGAGGGAAGCTCCTCTATCATTTGTCTTCTTTTTCTTATTTCACTTCTTCATCTTTCTTTATCTCTTTCCATGGACATTTAGACGAAACGTGTGGCATTCATAGTAGTCAATGTGTTGCGCTTTAGAGGAGACAAAAGAATGCCAGAGCAGTATTCTTGAGTAACATCGGCAAGGGAGAGACTGACTTCAGTAAATATACACATGTACGAACCAGGAATCGGATGGACTTGTGATGCGATGGAGAAAGAAAAAAGATGTACCAGCAAATTTCCAATATGTCTATTAACTTCTTAGTTAAAAGCATGTAGATTCTGTGAATGCGTGCGTGGGGTGGGGACCACAACATGTTTGTTGTGAACGCGTTTTTTTTGAACGAACGCATTTTGCTCGTGGCCCACGAACACCTCCCCACCCACGGACGTGTTTTCAATGAAGGGGGCCCACATCCACACACACGGCCAGACTACAGGCTATAAATAGGAACAATAATTTGTTCCTAGGGTTTAGTGCAAGGTAGGGGAAAATCGCACAAGGTTTTGCAGCTGGGCTTGGTGAAAACGCAGAGGATAGCTGTTGTTTTGAAGAGGAGTTTTGTGCAGCTATTTTTAGAGTTTGAGCATCCTTTTGAGGGAGATATTTGTCTGAGATTTGCGAGCTTGTTTGATGGTTTAATTTGCGTGATTGTAAACTCTATTTGTATTCTTTCTCTCTAATAGTAGATCTCCCCCTTCCTTGCCCCGTGAATGTAGGCAACTTGCTGAACCACGTAAAATTCGTTGTCTTGCTGTGATTTGTAATAGCTTGTTTAGGTTCCCTCGACAAGTCAGTCCTAGAACTAATGAGAGGAAGAGTGTATATCCCATTTTGTTGAGATATATCACTTTCGGTTCTTGTTTCCCTTGTGAAACATGGATTTAGTTGAGATCTACTCTCTTGTTGTGCACCAGAGATGCTGCCGAAATTTTCGCTACGCACAACAAATTCAACTACCCCGTGTTGAAAAAGTGGTGCATGGACGACAAAATTTGTCCTTCCTCCAAAAAGATAGTCAAAGTCATAAAGGAACCAACTAATGATCATTGACTAAGAGAACACTATAAGAGATGAGTTGTTAGTTGTTTTTCTTGGTGGAATAGAGAGTCAGTGATGACTCTCTTGGGTCAGTGAGTCCTCATCTTCTGGTGGGTGAGCTAGCTCTCTATTATTTACAATTGAGCGAGTCCTCACTTTATTCACCTTTTACTAATCCAATTATCCTTTCAAACTTATCTTAATCAAATCAGTTTTGTTCACCTTTCCTTCTCATTCTCTATGTTATATCCAACTTTTACTAATCCAATTATCCGTGTATAAAACAATAAAACCATCAGCACGCAGCATGCGAGTTTTCCAAGTAGCGCTAAGACTTTGTTGGACATTTATGTTGTACCTTTGGGATTGGGTTCTCGCTAAATTTTGTTCAACGGAAGACATCCAATCAATTTTAAAGAAGTGATTTTAGGATAATGATGACTACAATCACCTTAATTACATAACAGTTCAAGAAAATTTGTACTTGATAGAAGTTCCTAATATTTCCCTAGGCATATCTTACGAATCATTTTTTGGAAACTAATTTACAAAGTTGAAACCTGTTAGAAAGATGATCAAATCTTCAGCCACTCAACTTTGTGATAAATGTAAAATCTAAGATGATCTGCTTGAACTAGCACTACAACAAAGATTAATAGATAAGAAGGATTTTGGCATAATCCTATTGTTGTTGCCTTGCATAAGTAAGGAACATATATATAATTCTCAGAAAAGCAATCACGCTCCTCTTGACTTTTTCAGGCCTCAATATTTCCTCACTTAAGAGTACATTTTTTTTTCCAACACCCAATTATCTAGTAAATTTCATCATACCCACACCAAAATCCAATCAAATACTGACTTCAAAACTAATCCAATAAAGCTTTAGCATATGAATCAGCAGCAAAGAACAAAACTTTAACATAAGAAAGGCAAGATTTGCCCAAAAATCAATAAGAATTAAAGGAAAAATTTGCCCAAAAATCAATAGAAATTACCTTGTATCGATTGACCAGATTCTTCCACTTGCATTTGCACTGATCGGGGCTCCTCTGATACCCTCGCTCTCTCATTCTCCCCACCACCACCTCCCAAAGATTCTTGTTCCGCTTCGATTCGGTGAAATCCCTTTCCAGTTGCCCTCTGATCGCTATGAAAACCCTAGTTTCCTGCTGGCTCCATTGCTCCTTCGCCCTCAACGCCGTCGATACTCCGCGCCATCTCCGCCGCCGCCGCCGCGTGGTTCAACTGGAGCGGCATCAGAATCCCCAGCCTCTCGTCCTGTCCTAGCATCATTGTTAGAAACCCTAAAAAGTCTAATTTTTTGCTGGCGATGATTTTTTTCCTCTTCTGTTTGCTTCATCCGATCGGAGACAGTCCACTTTCTGCAGCTGGGTATTTATAGAGACGTCTGAATACGCAAATGCCGTTATTTTGGAATAAATCACTTGGATTTGCCATTGGTGGGTAGTCACTGGTCACTAGTTGTGCTACAGATTCAGTACACACTCGGAAATGACCATTTTGCCCCTGTTGGGATTCTTGGAGCCTGTTTATTGCTTCTTTGCATGTTCTTTTTTTTCCCCACCTACTTCTCTTCTCTCCCTCGAAAATAAAATATTTGACTACTTATCTAAGTTTATCTAATAAGTTGCAAGGTTTCCTTTTTGAGAATCTTTTAAGAAAGACAGTTTTTAAATATAATTAGTAAAATAGACCGTTTTTTTCTAAATAATGAGCAAAATCAATCTTTTTTTTTGCCATGTCATAAAGACAGGCCAAAAAGAGGTTGATTTTGGAAAAAAAAACCATCTTCAAAATATACAGAATTGCTAGTCCTGTGTACTTAACAATTGCTAATTATGAAAGTAATTAAACCTAGAATATACATGCGACTTATTAGTCCCTTGTGTTCATTCAAAAATTCCATTTTTTTTATCTCAACCACCATTGCCCAACCCCTCTTCTAGATCTCGTCCCTCCTATTCTCCTCAACCTCCTCCAATAAAATTATGATCACCCCTCCCCATCAACCACATGCGTGAAATCAACCATCTTAACCCTCGACCACCCCTTCCCTTCCTCGTGAGTGGCCTGGAGGGCAGCGGTCGAAGGCGGCCTCGAAAATCGGTGCCCACATTCACATGGGTTGGGGAGTGGTTGGGAATTAAAATTAGTGGATGGTAATATGTTTGTTGTGTGAGAGTTTTTGGTAAGCCTGTTGTAGGCTGTCTAAAAATCACAATAGATAGCTTATCCCCCATCAACCACCGATGATGGAAGTTACAATCTGACGACTTCCAGAAGGCTACAATTTGAAGATTTTCACGTAGATCGCTGAAGGTTACAATCTGACGACCTTCACGACAACTGATGGAAGCTCTACTTCAACAACATTCACAATCAATATCGGGAGTTACAATCTGACGACTCTCATATTCTCAAGGAGCCAAGACGAAGATTACAAGACAATAATCTTTGCAACGCTATGACAAAAGAGATTACTTTGTGATAATCTCTTCAAGACAAGACGCGGAGGTCGAACCCGCGTTACAACATCAAAACGCCAGGGTCGAACCCGCGTTACAACATCAAAACGCCAGGGTCGAACCCGCGTTACAACATCAAAACGCCAGGGTCGAACCCGCGTTACAATATCAAAACGCTGGAGTCGGACCCGCATTACAACAAGCGAAACGTGAGCGACCCTCGTGTTCTTAGGGGTCCAGCCAACACCGATCCCCGCGTTTCTAAGCTACAACAAACCAAAACGCGAGCGACCCTCGCGTTCATCAATGTTCAGCCAACACCCAACTTCGCGTCTCAATTCTAAGAGGCGAAGTTGGGTTCTGAACGCCGGATTGGGCGTTTGACTTGTTCAAACACAAGCCAAACGGCCTCAAAACCGTTATCCCACGTTCTGAGGGATTTTTGCCCCACTATGGAGAGAATTAAGGGGGCGGTTACACCCCTTAATTCCCTATAAATATGGGTAAACTCAACTGAGTTAAGGGTTCGATTTTTATTGGCTTGAATCGACCATTGAAGGCTGGCAATTTCGGATCTGAGAATTGGCAGCAAAGGTTTTGGGGGAGATCGGCCTTGATCCTTCAGCAACATTCGGCAACAAGGAGATCTCGAAAGATCCTGGAGCAACAGCTTTTATCCTTGGCCTATAAACCGAACTTTCGGTTAGATCAACTCTTTTCAAGAGTTCAAACTCGTTCAGAGTTATCAACTCATCAAGAGTTTCAAACTTGCCACGCAAGTTCTCCACAGCGTCAAATCGTGAGGAGAAGACATCGTTCCAGTGAAGCAAAACATCGGATCGTCAACGGAGAGCAAACTCGACGCAAGCACTCGAGGGAGGCACTCCATCGCCACCGTGAAGAACCCAGTTTTAAACAAAGGAGAGAATCAAATTCGTTCTCTTCTCTTTTGTAATCAAGTTGTAATCGGAATTAAAGGAATACAAATCAATTTTCTTTAATCTTTTCTTTGCAATTTTCCCACAAACAGGGATAAGGGGATGGTGAGGATGGTCAGAAGGAAGCTATAGATTTGAGGATTGGATGAGAGAGGAACCTGAGGATTCTTGGCTAACTGGGGCTTTTGAGATTGAGGATTCTGATGAGAGAGAGGAAAGAAATGAAGAAGAAGATCGGAGGAGAGAGTATGAGGTTAAAAATTTTAATTAACGAGACTAGCTATATGAGACTACTAGTTTCGTGTATTTTGAAGATGATTTTTTTCTCAAAATTTACTTGTTTTTTGCCAGCCTTGATGACGGATTAAAAAGAGGTCGATTTTGCATATTATTTAGAAAAATGATCAATTTTGCTAATTACATTTTAAATATGGTCTTTTTTAAAAAAAATTCACTTTCCTTTTTCCCTTGGCGCGCCCTTTTATCTTTTTCTTTGGTGTCGTAAAACTCTTATTTACATTTAAGGTTTTCCTCATAATAAGCTCAGGTACTTATGTTTACTAGAGTTTGCTTCATTTTGATCAGAGCAAGAAAATTCATCATATGAAAGGGAGAAGATATTGTTAGCTTGACTCGATCATTGATGACCAAATCAACCGCGGTTTCTCTGTTGAGAGAATGGTGGAGAACGTGAATCGTGGGTGGTTGAGAGAAAATTTCTCGTGGGGGCGGATCTGAGGGGGAGAGATGATGGGTTTAGCCCCTATGTAAGGATTCTCCTTGAGAAAACACAACGAAAACAAAAAGAAAACCCACTTACCCATTACCAAAGCCCCTCAGAAATATCAGTACCTCTTCCTCTTCTCTTCTCAGAGTTCGATCACTGGTATCAGAGCGGGTTGACGGCTGTTGGGAGTTGAGATCGCCTATGACGATGATGATTTTGCTGCTTCGATCGACGATGGCGATAACGAGCTTGGCCGCCAACGACCTTTGAGTTTTGAGCCATGACGACGTTTGACCTCGACGCTGGAGTCTCCATCCTCAGCGAGCTCTCTGATTTAGATCGAGTAAGAGAGAAATCGGCCGCCTCTTGCAATTTGAGGCTAAAAACCCTAGCTCGTGATTGCGGCTTTGTAATCGAGGGGGATTATTAAAGAGAGAGTGCGTTGGGCTTCTATTTTTGAGTTTGGGCCTAGCCTAGTTGTTTAATTGCCTAGATCCAGCCTAGTTGTTCATAGCTAAGCTAAGTAGCATGGCTGCGTGGGGTATTAAGGTGGTGTGTACTTGGGCCTTGTAGTTGGGCCTGAGTGATTTGTAATTGATTTTGTGGGCCGAGTGAAGTCCTAGCTCACTTATCTATTAGAGTGGAGGGCACTGCGTGAGACTGTTTTGACAGAGCAGATCATCTCCAATCCGGTCAGAAACGATGCCAAAACTTCGAAAAGAGATTCTTCAATCAACACCGTTAAGTGACAATCTCGCTCAAATTGGAGTCTCTTTCATCAACTCGGAACAATCAGGTTCATTTTAATTTTAATTTATTTTTGTCTAACTTTATTCTATAACTGTCTATATAGCAACCTTATACATATTTTAAAATTGAATTTAGTTTTAGTTCTTTACCAAATGACTAGTAAACTCGTTCTATCAGAACTAGGAAAAATTAACAAATTTAATGGCAGTAATTATGATATGTGGATAGAAAAATAGGATATGCTCTTATTCATGACAACATTGATGATGTAATCGAAACCACTGCTCCAATCCTTACTGATAAATCAACACCTGAAGAAAAGAAAGAGTTTGAACAGTAGAAGTCGAAAGACAAAAAGGCAAAAAGCCTTATGCTTATGTTCATGGAAGATAACTTAATCAAAGTTTTTAAAACTTATAAGACTTCCATGGACATGTAGAATGCAATAAAAGAAAAATACGACACTACTTCTGAAGTTAACATCTAACTCCTCTTGCATAAGTATAATTCTTGTCGTATGCAAGAGGGAGACAATGTCATAGAGCATATAAATAAAATGATTGTCATGGTTAAGAACTTATCCACTGCTGGGACCGAAATCCTAGAAAGAATGCAAGTGGCAACCATTTTGAATAGTCTTCCTCTTTCACTTGTTGTGTCTGCCACCACATTAAGAATAAATCCTGCCATTAAGTCTGTCACTGATCTTCCTATGCACCTAGCGATAGAACATGACGTAATAGTCAGTAGGAATGAACCAAAGCTAAATATGGTGTAGCAAGAGCTGAATTATGTCCGCCAGAGGCATAATGCTGAAAGCTATAAAAACCCTGGTTCTAGTAAATCACAACCGCGAGGACTGAAATCGCAACAATTCAAGAGAAAGAAAGTATCCCGCGAAACCTGCTACAATTGTGAAAAGTTCGGGCATTTCAAGCCCAATTGCCCACAAGGTGAAAAGCAGGAGAATAAGGGAGGCTATAAGTATCCAGAACAAAGAGGTACTAGCAAAAGAGAATTCGTCGGTATGACGGAATGTAATGCTATGATGACGGATATCAGTGGTTGGTGGATCGATTCTGGTGTGACTAGGCATATCACAAAGGACAAGAATGTAGTCATAGAATTCACCAAGCTGAAGAAAAGAGAACAGAGAATCTATATGGGAAATAATACCTATCTCGATGTAGAAGGTATTGGTTCGTATAGATTGAATCTTGGGGACAACATTCTTGTCCTAAAAGATGTGTTCTATGCGCCAGGAATTCGGCGCAATCTGATCTCGTTTCCCAGCTTGATGAAGAAAGGACTGGAAGTGAGGT